TAGCAAGCTAGCAGTACTAAGAGAGAGAGCGACGAGTTGAGGATGAAAGTTGGCTTCGGAATGACTTCAAATTTGATTCAAATTTTATTAATTTTAAATTTAGGTTCTCAAATTTAAAATAATCATTGACTGAAGTATTATTATTATTGTATTGACATAAGTATTATGTAAGTGTCTGCATCATTAGTGTTATGTAAAAATAAGCCGATAAGGATTAATTTTGAAATGACAGAGACAGAACGATTATGCACTTACTATTTTTATAGAAAAGAAAACATAATCAAATTTAAAAAAAAATAAGGAACTGTTATAGTAAATTAGAGCTGCTATTATAGTAAATTCTGATTTATATATTTTTTATGTTACATATATTTGTATAAATATACTTTCGGTTTACCGCGGTGATACTGGTGACAATATCTATGGTTAATCCAAAACTATGGTTAATTCCGGAGCACTTAAAAAAGCACAAGAACAGAGAATAACTTATCTGATAATTTTTAAAAATGCTGTTAACAATATACTTCCATTTTCAAGCAGTTTAATCTAGAGAATAAATTAATTTCATTAAATTAAATCAGTATTCGGAACAGAATAACTAGACTCTAAATAACCGTAAGATAAACCTCATTAAAGATGAATATATTATCATTTGCTATCCCTGCAGTTATTTTAATCACTTTTCTTTTCCTTTTTTATACTTTTCGTAGACAGTTTTGTTTAATGGTGATTCTTTGTGATAGTAATATTTTTTTTTTTTTTCCTGCAGTAAATAAACTCAGCGTGTTTTTTTTTTTTTTTTTTTTCCTTTAAGAAGACCCAGTGAATCTCTCCCTTTCCTCATCCGATTATAGTCCGTTTAAAATAATAATAGGCCAATAATAATATAATAAAATAGACCAAAATAGGCATTTCAGGGTCGTCGCTCCTTGCGTACAATCGTAATGCATGTCATCTACTTATTTTCTCCACCTCATTTCAGACTATAATTCAAGTCAGCCTTCATATGCGCCCCTTTCAAGAAGCGAAACACATTAGACGGAAATGAAGTGGGAGAAAAAAAAATTAGACAACTGGACTGACTGTAATCCTGTTAACAAGATTTGGAGCAACAAATATAGAGGATGAAAGTTTATATTTAACATTAGATACGTCTGTAGTTTACTTTTCTCATTATATTGCATCTTTTTACGTCCTGTGACGCTAACAAGATATTTATAATCAACTCTGAAATGCAAATATTCACATTCCGAGAGGCAAACGGTTTTTCATTTGTCATTTTATAAGGTATTTCTCCCACTTTCCTAGCGTGCCTTCGTGTTGTAGTGGTTCTGCACGCTGGGCCGGTATTCCAGAGGTCCGTGGTTCGATGCCCGGCGAAGGCGTTTGCTAATTTTTCATCTCTCCAGCCTCCAAAAAATACCTAATGTCTCTACAATCTGTGCTACCTGGCAAAATTTATAATGATCGGAGACGTTACTGTTCAATGCAATTTATGTTTTCTAATTTGGTTTTCAAATTAAAACTATACGTTTCTTAATTAACTGAGGAATTTAAAAGAATTTAATAATTTACATCTTGATTTTATTTTGAATGGCATCCATAATTGATCTAATTATTAAAACATCTGATTCGTATCATTTATAATGCACCCAGCTTAAAATTCTTGATAAACATTTGCACTATTGTTAAAAAAAAAAAAAATAGAAAACTTCGCGGAGCATAATAATAGTTTGCAAGCCTTCTCAGAGAGTTTATAAACTTTTCCTTTTAAATAGAACCTTTATTTCACTAAAAAGAGAAATTTAAATGTGATAGAGTAGTAGATAAAAGGAAAAATATTAAGCTTGTTTAAAAAAAAAAAAAAAAAAAAAGTTAAGCTGGTTTAAAAAAAAAAAAAAAAAGTTTTCTAAAAGATATTCAGATTTTAACGATCGCCCGAAAGGGCTGTTTTAAAGTTTAATAGGGTGGGTTTATCATTATAACCCTGCTAAACTATAATATTGTAAACATAACATAATATATAACAGTAAATTATTGATCAATATAGCCCACTAAATATAGAAATGTTATATACCTCCTGCGTATTTAAAAAGTGAAATAATATATAATGTAATTCTGTAAAAAATATATAATGTTTTTAATTCGATATATAAAGCATTCAACAGCATTTTTATTTATATCAATCATATGAAAAAGTAAAAAAATGATATTATTAAGAACTGTATCTATTGCTTTTAAATAGCTCAATTTGTTAATTAACAAAAAACAGATTAAATATGAAAGAATAATATCTTACGTTTTCCCGAATGGTAACAGATTCGAATGAAATGTGAAACAACGAATAACCGTTTTTCAAGGGGGGCGGCTACGTTCCATTGTTTGTCCGAATTTTCAGCTACCCCCAGTCCACGTGATTTTGATGTGTCTACTCATTTTAATAAGTCAACAATAAAATCAAAAATTTATATCAGTAAAATGTATCTCGCATATTGTATCGAAATTCGTTAACCGTTAATTCAATATGTTTATATGAAATGCAGGAAAATTGCGTATAATTTAATATTCCGTATAAGGAAGTCATGTGGTGTACACATCAGACTTTTTTTTTTTTTTTTTTTTTCCTTCTTGCTAAAGGAAGAAAAAAAATCGTGCGTCTTTCTGTCAGTGGTAAAGCAGGTAAAAAAATTATTTGAAACTGTTGTTCGTCTGAAACAAATGGATGTGGGATAGCAGCATTTACAGCCACTGGTGGAACTCACCTAAGCATCAAAAAATGGTTTGTTTTGGTTTATTTGATTATGGCAAAGCACTCTATAGCTACCTGCCTAAACATGGGAATTCCCGATGTGGTTTGTTAAGGTTTTTTACGCTCCCGTTGATCTCGCAGCTACAGTTCTGCTGCTACATTCACGCTAACTGAACCCTCCCTCCCCCCCCCTTTTTTTTTTTTTTTTTTTTTTTTTTGATTGTTTGTTTTCTTTTCAGATTTATTACTAAGCATGATTTTTTTCGCACTTCCGCCGTATACAATTCAACAGCAAAATTACAAATATTTTAAAAGATTAGTTAAAAAAAATTTCTTTCTTTTAGAATTCCCGATGTGGCGTTAAATGTTGGCATACATTTAATTTTATTTATTTATTTCTAAGGAAAAGTCTCTTCTTAGTTAATCATATCCATGTTCAGTTTTCTTAGTAAGATGGCATGAAAATTTTTTGTCTTTTTATTATTAACGTCTTGTGTGTTAAATTTATTAATTAATATCATGTTTTTGGCACTTACGTGATATAAAATTCAATTCAACAGCAAAATCATAAAATATTTATAAACAGTGCATCTTTAGAATTTCCGATGGAGTCTAGCGCTCTGGAGATTAAAATATTTTATTCCGTACGGTGTTCCCACTGCTCGCTTTGAAATCGTTGAGTTTGTTAATTAAAATACATTGAAACAGATAATGAAACAAGCTTCCAGGTACACATATTTGAGTGGACGACTACGTTATTCTATACTGGATGGCTCCAAGTACCTCCCCCTCCCCTCCACAATACGAGAAACAAGGATACATTCATGCAGATTCTTCCTTATTTAATTTCTTTAAGTATAGTACAAGGCGATAACATTTAATAGTAACAATCTAAAGAGTGATACGCCGTTTTCAGTAATTAACGCAAAAAGCCGTTTCGAGATTAATATCCCATTCGGGAATAACGTCCGTTTTGGGCTAAAAATTCGCGTTCTCTTGATAAATCCTGCAACCCGCCTTATTAGGTAATTCGATATTACTAAAGTCCCAAACTTCCTGTATTTTGAAATGAAAATGTGTATGATTTAATATCTTAACACTTATCTGCTTTTCTGACTGCTCTACATCTGACAAGCCTGGCGAATAAATAAAGGATGGCCCCCTAAGTGTAAACTGCAGGTTGGATGGTAAAAGATCTCCGCGAAACATTTTCGCGATTTATCAATCCACAATAAACAAACACAAATAAAAACATGAAACCACGGATACCAGATGGGGCAACCGTGTATATACATAACTCTTCTATATGCATTTATATACGCTCGCAGATCTAAACGCAAAATAACCCAACGCAAACGTAACCGAATTTGAGATTGCTTTCTCTCCGACCAATAACGGGAGAGCTTACCCCACCCCCGTATTCTAATAAGGCGTGTTTAATTTTACCTACAAGCCCATCCCACGATCCGTTACGTCATTAAGGAGCACCCCCATGACGACCAATAGCGAGCGGCGATCGTCAGTGTAAGGCCTGCCTTATGATTCGTAAACGCGGTAAAAACATTTTTACCAGACACATTTTCACTACCGTTTAAGACCGGTTTAATCGGCGAAAGAGTTTAGCTGTTTAATGCTTCGGAACTCGATCGTCTGCTCCTTTCGGTTTCAGAAGTTTTTATTTGCGGAGAAGTAGTGTTTTAAGCGTCTAGGGTTAATTAAGTTAAGTAATTGTCATGTTGATTTTATTGCTTGAAATGAGGATTTTTCTGATGCTAGATTGAAGAGTGAAAAAATATTTCGGCGTTTTCCTGATGTTTGAAACTGAAATGAGATGTAATTATTTATTTAATGAGGTGAAGAATCTTTGAAACCGATAAAAAAATTATTGCAGTGTTTTGAAAATGCTGTTATACATTTGTGAAACTTAAGCTGTAGGATTTAAAATATCGATTGGAAGTTTTGTAATTCGATTAAGATTATCAATAGGATTCGAGTTAAATTTAGACAGCTTTTATTTGAATCGTTTTGTCGAGCAGATTCGAATTCGTTTTCTTTCTTTACTCTTTGATTAAGATTATTTAAACGATTCAAACAGAATTTAGGAAACATTTATTCTGATGATTCATTTTTCTTTCTTTTAGTGTTGCTAACTTCTAATAATGAAATACAGTAATAAGAAGGAATGAGTTTGTAGAATAATGCTGATTTAATCGTCATGCTCGTAAAATGAAAAAAATTAGGACAACTTTGCAATCGTTATTTTTTTAAATCAACATACATGCATTTTAAATTAAAACTTTTACTTCGCTTTTTGTATTTCAACGAATACAAGTTGTGAGAACTAAATTTGATGAATAATTCATTTTATTATTCTAAGACGATAAAATATAATTACCTGTAGTTGATGACATTATTCTGTTGGGTGATCTTAAAAAATGTGTAAAAATATTACGTGTCTATGAAGTATTATTGCTGTGGGAAGAGTTTTGGACGCATTACCTTTTCTGTAGAATTTCGTTAGGATGTATCATATATGAAACAACAATAAAAGAGCATTTTGGATTGTTTTCCTTTTTAATTATTCATTCAGATGAGAAACAATTAAAATTTTTAAATGATATTAAGTTACGTAACTGAATTGAAAAAATCAAATACTCAACTGAGTAATACACAACTTCTTAGTGTTTATCACTGAGTAACGAAATATAGCCTAATGTTTCCTATGATTGTGTAATATTTCAGAAGGTTTTTTCTTCTGAAAAATATTCTCGCAAATAAAAAATCAAATCGCAACAAACTGTGAAGGTTGAAATGTAGTCGAGTGTTTTAAATCTCAGAAAGAGCGGGAAAATTCAGTCTAAACCGAAGTGTAAAGGTATCAGAGGATTTCTCACCAAATGAATGTTTAGTGACGGCGAACACGGAGCGCTCTTAATCGGCGAAATGCTGAACTCTCGCATGAGGTCCTTCCTCATACGGGACATTTTGGGATCTCTTGAAGATCAGCAGGAAATCAGCTCAAAGGAATGTGACGTTTTACACCATCAAGAGGCCAATGCAGCTAGATGCTCCAATGGTAAGTCAAATTTTTAATATAAAATTATAATACCAGTTCGCTTTCAGATGCAGTGAAATACGCTAATAAGTTTCTCACTTACGCAATTTTTACGTTTATATGTCGTTTCATTTCTGCTCCTTTTCATTTCTATTCATGTCAACAGCAAACTATTTCATTTATACGATACATAAAGATTTCAATTATATACTTCATTTATACGGTACACAATACGTCATTTTTGCCTTGATTTACGTTGACTTAATGCCTCGACGCCGTTTTTGTCTTGACTGTCGTTTTTGCCTTGACTTTTATGAAGACCCGTTTAATCGGTCTTCATAAAGACCTACATTATTTTCGACATTATTTTTTGCCACACTCACATTTCATATCTTAAGTAATTTCCTCTAATGAGCATGTAACTAGTGGAATAAGAAGGATATTAAATTAATCTCACTTTATTTTCAAGATGCAATGCATCGCACAGAAACATTCAGAAAATTATTTAATTGCCACAATAATAATGAGAAAACTTTTCATAAATTTAATTCGGTTCATTGAATTTTATTTAAGATACCGAGGAAAACAATTATGTGTCAAGTGAATATTTGTAGAATTTTTCTTAACCAAAAAATAAATATCTGCGTCTATGGTTAAGAGGTTCATGGTGGAGGGGGCGGATATTCAAGACGAGTGATTGAAGACACAAACGAAAATATTGAATGATCTAAAATTTACTTATTTCGAAAACAAGTTTTTCTAATACTTGCGCGATAGCTGCAAAGAAAGTGCAATTTTCGGAATTAATTTCGGAAAATGGGTTCTCCCTTTTTTCATAATTCTACTAAATTTATATTAGGAGATAATAAAATCAATGTTTCTTTAGTAAATAAATTACGAAAATCTTGAGATTTTTTAAGTCAAAGATTTTAACTTTGTTTAAGATATAGGCAGCATTTTATGCAAACTAAAAGAACAAAATGTAGAAGACATTTTATATAAAGCAGTATAGATTAAGGATTGATAATTAAGAAACTTTTTATACCTGTAAAACAATATGGAAATTTTTTCGCTTAGTTTACAGTTTTCATTACTTCAAACAAATTAATTAATAAGAATTTGAAATGAAAATATTTTGTTCTCTGCTGGCAACAGCGTATGGAGAATATTTATCTTTCCTAAATAAAGTTATTTTGTGATTGCTTCTATCATATGTTGGGCTGCAATTTTATTTCGGAAGTTAAAAGGAAAACTCCGCCGTGTGGTTGAGGGATAAGTAACGAAAATTCGCAAAATTTTCACGGTCTGTGATTTAGTCTAAAAACTTCGCAAAAAAATATTTCAGGGAAGGATTCAGATTAACATTTCGGGGAAACAAATGTGCACCAGAAACAAAGTAACACACATAAAAGGTATGTGATCAAAAATCAAAGTTATGCATTTTTAATCGAAATTTGAATTTATATAGCAATGGAATTCTGAAAATGTATTCAGACCTATTGTTTTCAATTACCATTTAACTAAGTATTCATTTCATACATGACACATTCTTAGAAGAATAAATAAATAAATAAGATAAAATAAAATAAAATAAAAGATGAAAATCTGAAAGGTTTCAGATTTTAAATTACGTCCAAAGGGGCGTTTTTTTAACATTTTGTATGTTACCTTTCTTTATTAAATATCATGTTCCTCGCACTTAAACCATAAGATCCAGTGCAACAGCAATATCGCAAAATAGTTTTAAAACGAGCATATCTTTAGAATTTCCGATACAGAGACTCACGCGCTGGAGATAAAAATGTTTTTTTCTGCACAACGTTGCCATTGCTCGCTTTGAAATCCTTGAGTTTGTTAATCAAAAATTCGTCAAAGTTTTAAAAAATAGGAAATCGATCATAAAACAAATTTCAAATTTCAAATTTGGTCTTCCACATGCTCATATTCGTTGGAGGATTACGTTATTCAAAATTCGATGACTCTATGTACCGTTATTTTATGACAATAGAAATATACATACATTTATGCAGATTTTCATTATTTAATTTCTTCAAATATAATGCAGGACTCTAACATTTTGTGGCAACAGTTTGAAAAGTGAAATGGACATTTATAGTCCGACGCAAAATCCAAAACGAAAACTAATAGTCCTTCGGGATTCAAATCCCCTTTGGACTAAAAAGGAGAAAGAATTCCACATCAAAATTGTTCGTCGGTAGCAAAGCAGAGTAAAAGAATATAATTTCAGAAAGATTTTTTTCGTCTATTTCAGAAATCCAGCAGAATTTAGAATAAATCAAAGTTCAAATTTGAATTTCGGAAAAGGATTTCTTCTCAGTGTATTTTTTGCAAAATTTCTAACGAAAGTTACATAAAAATTATTTCAATCAAAAAAAAGTCTTGCGTAAAAGTAACAACGGGATGGGAATAAAAAAAACTCCAAAATCGGCAAATTTATTTGAAATTCATAGAAAATTTCGAAATATGTGAATCAGAAAATTCGAAATATGTACGTATTATTTAAAATAAAACTTGGAGGAAAAATATCAGAAATTTGCTCCAGGAAAAAATTATTGCCCTAATAATAATAATGAAATGAAAGCTTTTAGATTTTATATTACGCCCAAAGGAGCTTTTTTTTTTTTTTTTTTTTTTTTTTTTTTTTTTTTTTTTCATTTACACGTACATACACGTTTCGAGAGCATGTGGGCTAAAAATATTTTAAAACAGCATATCTTTAGAATTTCCTATAGACAGTCTCGCGCGCTGTAGATTAAAAAAATTTATTCCGTGCAGTGTGTTGCCACTGCTCTCTTTGAAATTGTTGAGTTTGTTAATGGAAATTTCTTTAATTTTTTTTTTTTAAATGAAACAAATTCAAAATTCAAGTTTCGGCTTCCATGTGTTCATGTTCGGTTGGAGGACTACATTATTCACAATTTGATGGCTATAGATATCGTTGTTTTTTACAGTGCGAGAAACATACATACATTCATTCAGATTCTTCATTACTTAGTTTCTTTAAATATAATACAGGGCGATAATATTTGGTGGCAACAATTTGAAAAGTAAAACAACGCTTATCGTGAATCAACGCAAAATGCCATTTCGAGGCTAATAGCCTTTCTGGGTTAACAACCCTTTAGCCTAAAAGGAGAGAGAGAGAGAGCGGGGGGAGGGGAAGAGAAAGAGAGAGAAAGAAATCTACTTATGTAAAATTTGTACTATTTTTAGCATTAGTTTAATTAATGTGAGTTTAGAAGTTAAACTCCTAAATTTGAACTGCCAGAAGTCCTTAAAAAGATGTTCCCTTTACTTTTTCATATACTTTTCTAAATGCAAAGGTATATCGAAATGAAATATTTATTACTCCAAGATTAATTCGATGGCAGTTGAAAAATGCAAGAAAGACAAATAACCGATGTTATAAATAACAAAACAATACTATCAAAAATTTACCTGTATTACGTATATACATGCAGTATAAGCTGGAGAGGAAGTTCATTTGGTTACGTAAGTTACAAATTAAATGAGCGTAAATTTCGTAATACACGTAAGCAACAAATAACAACATAATAATAATGACGCAAATGAAATCTCATATATAAAATTATCAAAATCAAAATCATTTGGTTACGTAAATATAAAATAAGTAAATATTCACAAGAAAACAGTTCAAATAACAGCAGAATAAACATCATTAAAAATGAGGCTGCGATTAACGCTAACGAAACTGTAATGGCTGTACTTAAAATTTGACATAAGTCATAAAACTAAATCGCAATAATATTGTGATTTCTTTTACGACTAAACAATTTACTTTGAAAATGATATAACAATGTCTATTTATTCCGAATTATATACAACTGTGCCTACTCTATAAGTGCAACTCCAAGAATATTAAGAACATTATGTGTTATCACTGTTTATAAGCCACAGAGTTTTTTTTTTTTTTTTTTTTTTTTTTGGTGTGTGTGTGTGTGTGTATTTTACGTAGGCAGTTTAGTTTTACATTGAGAATATGTGATATAAATCTGTAAACGGATTAAATGGAAGTTTATGATGCTGGCATATTTTTGAGATATTGCGGATTCACCTCCAATCCACAGCAAAAAATGAATGCAATAGAATGCTTTTTAACCGGCTGCAACGGGAACTCATCGGTTCTGGATAAGAGATTTTATCGGATAATGAAATAAATATTTCTGGAACTTATTTGCTCATGTTGTGTAATGCCATCCGTAAAAACTGCAGCGTGCGAAGTGCGTCGGTCAGGTTTTTTTTATCTGTCGGCCACAATTAAATAAATAATACCAAAAATCGTGCGTATTATTTAAAATGAAAAACATATACAGAATATTATGCTTCAGAAAAACACAATTAAATAACATTTTAAAATGTTCATATTTATTATCATCTGAAAGTTACGAATATCTTAGTACGACTGCACGAATGTCTATCTGCTTAAGAAACTGCTGTCGTATTGAAAATTTGTTACGTATATTACGAAGATCCGTAACATAACGTACGGACATAAATGAACATTTCTGGAAAAATTTCTTGAAAGCGTTCAATTTTTCGCCAGCTTCCTTCCATGAAACTTTCTTGCTTTGCTTATTATCTTCATTTTCAACCTTCCCTTCTTCCTCATCCTCTTTTTCCTTTCCCAGTACATGTTCCATTAGTAAGTCGTAATCTCGTGAGAGTTAGACGGGAACAGAATTATCTACATCCATCCAAGCTTCACCTCCTTTTCACTAACACTGACCTTCTTCGAATATGTAAGCACCGTATATTCCAGTATATAACACGCACCTGTAATTTCAAACTACATTTTCCAATTTGTATAAATATTCGCCGTATAAAACTCATTCTTTTGTTTGCGATGAAACCCGAAAAATATACGTGCGATGCTGCTATCTTGTGAAGTCGTTCATTAGAAGATTTTTTGTAAGTTTTCCAACAATGGTATACTGAATTGATAAGGGTAATGAGAACACTATGTGTATGGGGAAAATGCT